AATTAGAATGTAGATACCTTACAAAAAAAATCTCGTATTTAGTTATATTTCTTAACTATCTCAGCTAAGCTAAACTTTGATATTAATGATGCTAGCCAAAGCAGAGAAAAATACAAAGAACACCTTCCTCTAAAATTTGGTTTTTGTAACATACGATAATTTTGCGCAAAGGAGTCGATATAGAGTTATTACATTTTCAAAAGTGTTATGTAGAGATGTGAAACAACAACAAAATTTCAACAACTGTCGTAAAATAATGTACTTTTACGATAAATACAACACCTTGTGAATTGCCTTATTGTTCGGCATTTTCGGCCGAAGGCCGAAGCCGAAGATAAAAAAAACCAGCCGAATAGGTCGAATACCGAAGCATGGCCGAACCTTCGGTCGAACAGTAACATGCATACATGTGTAGGAATATATTCCCTGCAGAGAAACTAGTTAAGCGCTAGTTATTTATCGCCAAAAACAAACCAGTCGGATAGTAATTAGATCCTCACCAGTACAATAGCAGCGAAATGTTAATCTTAACAGAATTTGTTTATTTTACTTTTCAAAACTACATACATATATTACATACGATTTTCAACATTTTAAAATTTTCGCTATGCCATAATGCTTTTGCTCCATCCTTAAAAACAGCCAGTATTCGCTAAGTCTTGCAACACCCTTGCACGGCGTATGGATTGCCCGGGTAGCAAAGTTTTCCCATAGGAAAGCCGGTACTACCGTGCAATCCGTGAACCTTGTAAGGGTTTTGCAAGACTTAGCGAATACCCTTATTGTAAAATACATATTGTACAGTGGGTACTTTCCAAAACTGAAAGTGTGACCGTATTTTATTTCTAAATCAAAATGAATTAAAATGTCCAATTAGCGCAACTTTGCACAAAAATCGCGTCTCTGAGATTGAGCTTATTGAAAATGGATTGGATTTAGAATTTTGTAGCTTTTTCTTTGGTTATTGTGCTTAAATGCGTGCACCGAGTTGCAAAGTTTTGTCTACTATACACACTGGCTGAGGTTAGGTTATACTGGCTCACCTTAAGACGTCTCACATAGACGTATGTATATATGGTCCGCAGCGTTGCCAGACGCGTTTACAACACATGAAAGAGTGATTTCACGCAATGTTAAAGAACATCGCCATTCCTTTGGCGAATTTTAGTAGACACTTTGGTCCTTTGTCGATTGCTTACTGCAGTCCGTGCCTTGCCGAGTAGCGTGAGTCCTTGCATGCTGGATACTGGGCACTAGTAAATTATATGCTCCACAGTTTTTTCGTGATAGCTACACTGCCTACACATGTCATCTATAAGGCTTAATTTGAACGCATGTGAAATCAGTAAGTTTCTTGTTGTATGAACTATAAATAATCTTTGCAAGTCTGTAACCCTGAGTTCATTTCCAAAGCCTATCTGCTTGGTGGTACATGAGCATGAGGTATCAATCAAAAATGATCTTTGGTCACAAAAAAAAAACCCCCTTTCCACATCCGTCGATGTAGTTGGACAAAATTCGAATAAACTCAATTCTGCAGGGGAAAACTTCGATAGGTCTTCACTCCTAGTTTTGGAGCCAGTAAACAATTGGGGAATTTACAAGACGTTTTAAGCGTCGCAATGTCTTAAAGTCTTAAAATTTTTCAAAGGTTAATACCTTTTTAGTCGATTTGTAACTTGACCAAAATCTGTTTAATGTACTAGGAAACATATTATTGGCTATTATTATACCCTTCGAATCTTTTAAAACGCATTTAGCCATTACTTAATATTGAAGAATTTTAAAACGATTAGACATTACGACAACAAATGACTTGTGAATCGCCTAAACATATCTTTTATATTAGCAGGGTATTTGGCCAAAATACTTTCAAGTTTGTTTTAATATACATTTATGTTCAACATTTCGTATTTCTATTTCACAGTTGTCACAATTTTCAATCTTTCTTTTAATGTCACACCGTTTGTTTGAAGCTTGAAGTAGGTATAACATACTATCAAATAACCAAAATTTGCTTTAATGAATGCCAAATCTGTTCGAATTTGTTCAAGCCCTAGCAGTTTGTATGTATAATTGCATTGTATCAAGGCGAATTTATACAAGATGGTATCAGGCGTATAAAAACATATGTATGTATAAATTCGCCTTCTTTCACGCATGTCCCTTTTTGCCCGAAAATGTATGAAATGTTGCCAAATATGCAAAAATAAGCACGTACATAAGTCGAATATTTATATGCAAAATCCAACAAAATTTCCAGACACTATATGCAAAATAAGCCAGTCTTGCTCAATACCTTCCACACCCTTGTGTCCTAGGTAAGGCATCCAATCCCGGACCATTTTGTGAATACCGGGATTTCGGGATCTTAAATTGGTAATCCCGGGATCCCGGGATATTGCGGGATATTATTACCATTAATTAAAATATGCTAACAAACTAGTTTTGTAGTCTTTCTTTAGTTCGAATACTAGAAATATAAATAAATTTGTATTTTTAAGCAAAGAAATATAAATATCTAATTACAAACTGAATAAACTAAAAACAATGGAATAGAAATTCATTCATATTGCAGTCGCATTACATTTACATTCATTCATATTACATTTACATATAGTATTTATACATATACATATATGTGTAGTAATATTAGTGTGTCACAACCTATGTATATAGACAAGTCGGACGGATTTCGTAAAAAACAATGATATGTCTCCGATTCGCTTCAAATTTTTTTATGGATTCTATACATGAAATAAGGTAACACATATTCGAGGTATTTTTTTTTTTCTTCGGAGATATGATCTGTCAAAGTTTGAATTTTTTCATGATTCTGACCATTCATGTACTTCTTAAAATCGTATATCTCGGGCTCTACTCATCTACTCATCTACTCATCTACACTTATGATTGTCCTAAACTTAACTTAGCTATTAACAGTTGAACTTTTTTAAGTTGATTTGCATAGTAAAGACCAGTAAATTTGGGATTTAAAATTCGTAATCCTTGTTTAATTCTCTATAAAAAAATGGGAGCTTTTCAAGAACTATTTTTAAAATATTTTTTTTTATGACGAGGTGGTTTATTTTGTGAGAGTCAACAATGACGTCTCTACGATGAACAGAAGCCGGGATATAACAATTTGAAGAAGTACATGATTATTTAGTCAGAATCCAAAATTTGACAGATCATATATCCGAAGAAAAAAGGAAAAATGTGAAGCCAATCGAAATTCTGACACCAATATAGAACAATAGTAGTGTTAGAATTGTAATATAGGTGGATAGTTTTAGCCGCTGCTAGCCTTTTTGTAGCCTCCTTACAGTCCGCAACGGTGATCGAATTTGTATTATATGAAAGTAGAGTCTTGATGACCGTCTGACTATCTATGTAAAAGTTTATCTGCTCCCTTGGCGGCAGAAGTATGAGAACACAATTTTTTTGTCCCAAAGTTAATTGACCTCAGGTACCCATTGTAGAACCTAGACACCAGATTTCAGTTCTCATTACCCTAACGTAACACCTTAATGCTAAATAAGTATCCAATAAAACTATTAAAGTTTTTTATTGGTGAATGTAGGTGTCATTAAAAATTTTAATTGTAGGTTCGGCAAAAAAAATACATTTGTGTAATTCATCTAAAGGCGTAAATGCCTCGTAACCACGTAAATTTCGTAAACTTAACTTAATTTTGTATGGAAACCCGTTTTACATATATGCGAGTTTTACGCGGTTACGAGGTGTTACGAGTTTAGATGAATACCCATATTTTTTTTGAAATTACCTTGCAAAAATGCTTTAGACTTAGTGAACTTTTTATTTGTTTGCTTGCAAGTTGGTTCGGTGGTACGGTCGAATATACACATAACAGATTTATCTTGCATTCAAAACTAATTTTATTTTATAATTCCATATTCGCGGTTACATGAATTAGGTTAAGACAAGAAGCAAATTGGAAAATTTATTCTGAGAAATTTTTATAAATTATTTAATAAAGTGTTCGACTCAGATAAACTGTGAATAGGGTAGCCGAAGCTGGACTAATTTTTTGGAAAGCGGCCGAAGAAAGGTTTTCTATTCAAAAATGCAGTGAAACTGAAGTTTAATTATACTAAAGTAGCTTATTAATTATGAATAAATATGTTTAAACATTCGTGTCGATATTGTTGTTCCTTAAACCGATCAGATTCAATGAGAAGGAGAATTACCGCGAAGTTGTCATGGTTCTAAATGCTTTAGACCGGAACCAGTTCGATACTACATAGTGCGTTTCCCTACAGGGATTGCTCTCATGTGGAGACACACACACACCTATAAACACATATATTTTTATTAGGATTTATCACACTCACACCTACCAACACTGTACACATAAACTTTGGGTGGAAATCAGCCTTCGGGCGATTGGACACGATTTTTTCCAAATTAATTGTTTGAGGCCATATGAATTTATTACCATACCAAATCTCGTATTCGAATATCAACTCCGAATTCGAGCATACAAATTATACATGTGCGTGCAATCGGAGGGAGACGTGAACAATAAATATTTGCAAGTCTTAGCGAAGACTTCTGCGATTACTCCCAGCTACTAAGTAATGTAAATTAAGTGTCGACACTGCGATGATGGCCCCCGGACTATGACTACTTAATATAAACTTTTATTATATATACTTAAGAGATGTAGGACTATTAGTTGCACCGGAAAGCAAAATATAATAACTCCGAATTCTATGGATGTGGAAATCTTCTATGCATGTACATTCCTTATTTGCTTCACTTATTTAGGCGTGTCAGCAATCTGCTGGTGCGTTAGCAATTAAGGATAAAATTTATCGACTCATTTTATTAGCTCTGAATTGTTTTATTTGGTGGTTTCTTCTGCAATGTACGAAAGTTCATGTGGGTATAATACATAGTTAGAGTAAGATGCTGACTGTCGCGTAGAACCAAAATTACGCTTATTTTATAAACTCTTTTCTTCTTTTTATGCACAGACTCAGATGCCATGGAAACAGACACTTCAGCGCAGGATATGCTGACATGTGGATCCTGTCAGAAAACGTTTGCTCTTTCGGATATAGTTAAATTTATACAACACAAAGTGCTACAATGTAACAAAGAGAACTACGGCCAGTGTTCAACTCAAGGCAAGTGATCAAAAGTTTTTAAATAAATTTATTCAAAAACATACATACATTAAATTCGGTCAAGTTTTTAATAAGCCGCAATGGACTGAAGGCAAGAAAAGACAGTGGTTAGTCATTTCATTGAAGAACTGATTTTCCCATTATTTTATTAATCGTTGTACCTTTGAGAAGTTCAGCAGTGTTAAGTTATCTAAAAAGTATTGATAGGAACGTAGCTTTTAGCAGAGTAACAACTGCCTCTAATACCAGGGCATCGATACCTTGGATAAGGAATCTATTATTACTTTTTTTAATATAATGGATTTAAAAATTAACTCATAGGGCTAGGAATAGGAATTTTGTTCGGATTTTTTTTACTATCCGCATAATCCACATATTGAACATTCGAATCAGTGATGCCAACCGGGGGTGGAATTTGAATTTCCCGGGGGAACCGGAGAATGGATTAAAATTTAGGGGAATTCAATATATAAAAGATTTTTATTAGAAAGTTCCTATTGAGCATATAATTACAACTTGTAATTGCGTAATTGCCTCATGCAACCGTGTGGATATTAAAGAAAGTGCAAAAGTTCATAGCGACATTTTTCACTTGATGTTAATCTCACTTCGTTTTTGGCGCCAAGCTAACGTCTGGCAAAGTTTCGAGCAGTCTAATAAAAGTAAGTATTTCTTAATGTATAGAGAATTTTCCCAAAACTAATTAAAAAATACTGCAATCTGAAATAGGCTTTGCATAGATACTTTGGAGGCAATTTTAAGTACAAAACAACTATTTAAAAATAAAACCTCTTGGTTTTAGTGCTACTTGTAGTTAATTACAAAAATTTCATCAATAAATATAAGATTCTAAGGAATAGGCAATCTGTGCCCGATATACACACATACTTATGTATTTGATAGATATGCTTTACGAGATATATTCGGAAGTATGAGTTTTATATATTATTAAAAACATCTGTCCTTATTTTCTCATTATAATTAATGATATTATTGTTTTAATAACAATTAATTTTTAAACAAACAAGTAAGAAAGTCTAAGTTCGGGCGGAGCCGAATATTAAATACCCGGCGCAAATATTAAATATACGTTTTTCACCTTTCCGAAAGCTACCGCTACATGGTAAGCCAGGGTGTATCAATTTTGAGTAAATTAACGTCCTTAAATTTCGAAATATTGAAGTTTCAAGCATTTCTGGAATATGCCGTTATATGAAAAGCGGCCGTAATTTTAGTCCGATTTCAATAATTTTCAACGATTTGCTTTTGTGTGGCAAGCACAATAACCACACTGAGTTTGGTACAAATTGGTATAATGGTTACCGGGGTACATATATATATATATATATATATATATATATAGTGGGCGGTGCCACGCCCATTTTTCAAAATTTTATGATAAACGTGTTTCTTGGTAAAGAGTTGTTGCAAGCATCAATTTTGAATAAATTAGCTTTAATATTTACTGATTTATCGAAGATTTCGTATTTCTCTAAATTACCGTTATATGGGATGTGGGCGTGGTTATTGTCCGATTTTAAACATTTTCGGCCATTTCGTATCTACAACTGTGCCAAGTTTGGAAGAAATTGGTGCAGCGTTTAGCAAGATATACACATGTAACCATAAGTGGGCGTGGCTACGCCCATTTTCCAAAAATTTATAATATTCTTATTTTTCGTCTCAAACTTATTGTAAATATCAATTTTGAGTGAATAATCTTCAGTAGTTACTAAAATATCGTAGTTTTCGTATTTCTGAAAATTACCGGTATATGGGAGGTAGGCGTGGTTATAGTCCGATTTTGCCCATTTTCAATACCATCCGTCCTACGCCAGAAAGAAGTGTACGTACCAAGTTTCGTTAAGATATCTCAATGTTTACTCGAGTTATCGTGTGCACAGACGGACGGACGGACGGACAGACAGTCATCGCTTAATCGATTTCTCTTCTCATTCTGATCATTTATGTATACATTTGTCTATATCTATCTCGATTCGTTTTGCCTGTTACAAACAACCGTTATGTGAACAAAGTTATAATACCCTTGTGCACAAGTGCGCTCGGGTATAAAAACGAAACCGACTTCAATTCTCATATAAAAATTTGATAGTACCGTTAATTTCTTCGTGATTCAATGATCGATCGGATCTAAACAAAATTTATATGGGACCACCTCTGAGGCACCACCTTTCCGATAGGAAATTTGCCGATAGGTGGCGCGCAAGTTGATATATTTGGTAAACCAGTATTTATGGTCCGATTTCGTTCATATTTAGAAAGCTTGCTTTAAAAATATTTGTTTTTACTATTAACTTATTTATTTTATACGACGCCGCTAGCTGAATAGTTTGCCATTTAGAAGGAACTCGGTCTTTATTTTACAAAGCTTGACTGCAGAAATGCCCTTCAAGATAGATGCATATATTTCTTCTTTTTAAAAAAGATGTATGAAAATCTTATTGTACTAATGCATCAAATTGAAATTAAATTGTTTTTGTTAAATTTTTTTTCCATATACCCTTTAAGGATACATATACATATGTATATATATATATGTGTACATATTTTTACCTCTTGACATTTTTATTCTCAAGAAAAAACAGACAAAGAGAATAATAATGCATTTCAATTCCTACAGCTCCAACAACCGACAGAGATGCGGACGATGGTCGACCTCTAAGCCTAGTTAACAGAAGACCTTCAATATCAGCTCCAATCATTATTCGGAAAGCTTCTGGGTCTGGATCACGCATCCACACGCCACCTCCCAGTCCTGCGGATCTCTTAGCCGATGGTGCGTCCAGCACTCCCAAGCGCTTAGTAGACGGTGAGTTAAAAATTTGCATATGCTTTTTAAAAATGTATTTCATTGAATTACGCTTCAACAGAAAATGACAACACAACGCCCAGGCATGAAGAAACGGTGGAGAAAAATGCGCCTTCGGAATGCGTCAATACTAACTTAAATGAGTCCGAATTAGCAGGTGATACAGAAAAGCTTAACACTATAAGGATAAAGCAGGAAGTGGAGCTCTGCAATGATGAAACGAGTATGAACAACGCATTGCTTGCTAACGATTCCAGCCAGGACAATAACGATGGTCAACCGATGTCAAAACGTCCGAAAATTGAAGTTGTTGACGCGGAATCTAACACATTGCACTCAGGTAGGATTGTCTCATTTAAAAATTATAAAATTACAATTACATATACCTATGTGGAGGTACATACCTACCTGCATTTATATTATAAATTTTTAATTATTGTGGATTCATTGATTCTAACATTCCAATGATGCTAAGTATTTAGTTAGAGAGGGCACCACTCTGATTTCGAGTGTTGAATATCCAAAATATTTTCGTTGCAAACATATATAAATACCTACATGCTTGATGTACGTATGTACATACATTAGCAGAGCGAGATGCACACAAACATATGACATGCAGATACGCTGGTGAACTATGCGACACCACTGTTGACAGACAGGGCAATGCATAATTTAAAAAGAATTCCGCACAAAAATGTTTTTGATGTTAAAGATTTATTTGATATGTCAACGCAAGAAAAAAATCACATGCAATATGTATGTATTTGGACAGAGCGGAAACACAGCAGAAAAACAATGGGCATTGATAAGTACATACATATGTATGTATGGATTTGTCACGTCATCACTCTTGACCTTTAGGCTTTCACCCTTCAAAAATGCAGTGAGCATCGCAATCCTGCTAAATAAAAACAGGTAATCCTGACATCAAAAGCCACTGCAAAGTTTTTAGCATGAGTTCAAAAAAGATAAGAATTATCTGTAATGGTTATGCCCTCATTGATCACAAAGGGCGCAGAATTTAGTGGTTCGTACATCGCAACTTACTTCATACTTATGATGTTATATATATATATATATATTATATATATATATATATATATATATGAATACATAAATGTGTTTATACGTAATGTGGATGCCCATGTGAATATAACTTTATTTGTGTTTTTCAACGTGGATAGGTTTTGATTTCGGTGATGCTTTTTCTTTAATTTATTTTATCTTCATTCTTTTGCCAACAGGATTTCTTAAGCAACTAACAAATAATAATTTTCAACCAACATACGATTCACAGTATGTAAATTTGTATTCAATTCCTTTTGAGCTCCCAACAAAAATAATGATAACGGGTGAAATGTATTTTGTGAATCTTTAGGCCATTTCTCTTCAGTGACCAAAAACAGGGCATGTATGTATGAATGTATCCAGATGTAGTATATGCACATTGGGGTGATCCAAAATTGCTTGTGGGGGGGGGGGGGGTCGAAAGTCGGAATTTTTATACTCTCACCACCTAGGATTGTTCTATAACAAAAGAGATACCCCTATTTTTTATTTTGGAAACAAAAAATATTTATAGGTCGCTCAAAGCGCTCAAAGTTTCCCTTGCACTTTATATAAAAAAAGAACTTTTCGTAGAAATGGTATAGAATTCTTGAAAATCACTATTTTTCGATCGGAAAACTCCGCTTCTCTTCTGGAGATTCCCAATATTAACCAATTATTTATTTAACCATTTTTGGTATTAAAAAATGGTTAAATAAACAATTGGGTATTGTTATTGGAAGTCTCCTGAAGAGAAGCAAAATATTGATTTTCAAGAATTCTATACCATTTCTACGAAAAGATGTTTGTTTTCATATAAAATACATGCATGGAAATCTTTGAACGCTTCGAGCGACCTCTACAAATTTTTTGATTTCGAATAATTTCAGGTGTAGGTATATTTTTCTAACAATTATTTTTTTTCAAATAATTTGTTTATAATCTGAACGATTTTCATCATATTATTATCATAAATCAGTAACAGTAAGTCTCGCCTTCAATTTGGTAATTATTACGTACCGATCGAGTAACATTTACCAAAGTTATATCGAAAAACTTAAATCGGTCTCCAGTTTTTTTCTAAAAAAATTTCCCTTAAATTGTATAAATAACCTTTAAATGAAAGAACCGGATTACAGAAAGGTGTGCCAGTGAGTGGCTTTTTTCGTTCAAGCTGAATACAAAGCAATATCGTCCAATTGGAGAGACCTCAAAAGGATTTCCCAAGACATGTTAAAGACTATTGCATTTACCTACAGTCACTTTTTCACATCATGGAATTAACTAAAATATTTATGTATATCTAAACACTTATTGCACGTCCACTACTTTCATATAACGGCAAATTTAAAAACCGCGAAAAATTTGTTTTTTTCGGTGACTAATGAAACCATTCCGCACCAATTTTCAAGACTGCATAAATGGACTTAAAATGTATTATATAATGTATGTAAATACTTATATGCTTGAAACTACTATTAACTTATCAAACGATTCCTTATCTTTGAAAATACATGTTTTACTTCATTCAGTCCATGGTCTTTTTAATATTATATAAACATCCGAAAACATTAAAACGTTTGAAAAACATCTCGTCTCACTTTTTTGTATTTTTCAGTTGGTTGCTGAAGTAATGAAGAATTGAAAATTCATAAGGGAAAATTATAGTTTTTGTAAGTTTTATGTTAATATCTTAAAAACTTGGAGACTTATTGAAAAATGATAAATGAAGGTGAGGTACTTAATTTAATAACCCTTAATTTTATATATCGTCCTGTTTATAACAATTAACGCATTCCATAGATATTACAAGCCAAAGTTACATTTTCAAAATTCATTCACTCTGATTCAATTGCGCAGGCTAAAGATAAGTTTTAAATTAATCTTTCGTGGCCAATAACAATTGGCTTAAACCTAAGACATCATAATATTACTATTACAATATGGTCAAATGCCTTTTATTTCTCCCCATACAAAATCGACTCAGCCTAAGGTACATAAATATATAATACGCGAAGGAATTTTTTGTCCAGGATATAAGATCTGCACCGTTTGCTCGATTACCAAAAATCGGGTGTCAAATTAAAGCGATTGGCCTGTAGACGTGCAAACTGGTTTTATTTTTCCGAAAAGAGTTGCCACTTGCAAAACAAATATACTCAAATTATTTAATAATCAATGCCATCAGATCTGCCCCGTGTCGTTCGATTTTCAAAAGTGAGGTGCTAAAGGCGCGGACTGTAGATGTGCAATGTGGTTTTACTTTTTTGAAAAGAGTTGCCACATTTTAAAAAATTAAGTTGAAATTATTTAAAAAGTTAAACCGATTATTACAAAATGGGTATCAATCGAAATGGGGTTATACAGCTTTGTTTCTTAACATCACTGTAGGAGGGGTACCACCTGTTTAAAAAATTAAATTAAGGGAATTAGGTAATCTACATGTATGTATGTATCACCATGTGGGCGCTAGACGAAAAGATTTTAAGAAGATAATAGTTTGTAAATATTTTGAAGAGGGTTGCCATCTGTTTCAAAAGTCGAATTCAGTTAACTTTTACATAACGAAATATTAAAATATGTCAAACAAAAGAGTGTTAAGAAATCTTTAGTCACTAGCAATATTTTTGAGGTGTTTAAAGAGGGATGCCACCTGTTTAAAAAGTTAAATCCAAATTATTTGATAAGCTAAGTAAATTATTAAAATATTGGTATCTATCGATTTGGGTTTGACAAGGCTTTATTTCTGAACTATATTTAGAGGGTTGGCACATGTTTAAGAAATCGAATTGAACTTAATTCATCAGTTAATTAAAATATGTACCACAATGCAAGACGAGGGTAATTTAAGAAGATTATAGCATGAAAATACGTTTGAAGCGGGTTGCCACCTGTTTAAAAAGTCGAATTTAATTAACTTATACGAAAATTATTTGAAATGCGGGTGTCAAGCGAAAAATTGTTAGGTGAAGGAAATTTAGGAATGTTTTAGCTTGAAAATAATATATACGAGGGTTGCCGCCTATTTGAAAAGTCGAATTTGATTAACTCATATACAAATTATATGAAATATTAAAATACGGGTGTCAAAAGATAGAGTGTTAAGAAAATCTTTACTGGGAACAACTGTTTAAAAAGTTACATTCAAATTATTTTGTAAATTAGATGAATTATGAAGAGATGGACATGAATCGAAATAGGTTTGAAAAGGCTTTATATCTGACGTTTATTTAGGAGGGCTGCCACGTGTTTGAAAAATCAAATTCAAATTAATTCATCAGTTAGTTGAAATTTGTATCACAAGAGAGAGAGACAAAGGGATTTTAGCTTCAAAATACGTCTGAAAATGATTTCCACCTGTTTGAAAAGTCGAATTTAGTTAACTTATCCACAAGTTTCATGAAATATTAGGATATGGGTGTCAATCGAGAGAGATTTATGAAAGCTTAAGTTTGAAAACATCTTTTATTAGGCTTTATCTTATTGAAAAGTCATACTGATCTAACTAATTATACACCTATATTATTCGAGAGGGAATTTTTTTGAATTTTATTAGATTTGCACCGTTCTTTCCAATTTCAAGTATGAGAGTTGGATTAAAGTCATTGGTCTGTATATATGGGTTAAGACTTTATTTTTTGAAGTTGGAACTTTTTTATCGGTACAGTGTGATTTGAAATTTTGGAGATATTAAAAACCGAAACTATGCTAGATCCCTCTTCACTAAGCTACGGCTGCACGGCATTTAGAAGAAATATGGCACTCGGATCACTTATAACTATGATTAACATTTGGAATATTTTTTAGATTTTTGAAATTGAATTTTAGGCGTTTTAACGCAATATGGGTTCACTAGTATTTCAGTATTACCTGATCATACTGCAGCCTAGGATGTCCACTTGACAAAAATTTTGTAAAAATATAAACTTTCGGTATGCAATTTATTGTGTTGCCTTCTAAATTGAAACCTTTTTTATTTTTTAATACCTATAAATATACTTACATATAGATATAAATCCGTACCTTAATTCACAAAGGCCCTAAACAACAAATGAAAAGTGGCATGTAACTCCGTTTTTTTAGTGCCTTTGTGAATTGACGATATGTATATACATTTATAACATATGTATGTATATTACAAAACTAATATAATTTAATTAGTTTTTTCCAAAAACCACAGATTTGAACTTTTACTTAAAGGAGATTAGAACTGATGGTAGGTAAATAAATGAAAGTATTATAAAAGTTTAAGTATGAAAAAATTTAGCAAATAGAAATTTAACGACTTTA